AATATTTTTGTTTTCAAAGAAAGTCTGTTAAGAAGCAGCCTCCATCTGAATGGACTTGTGAAGTTCTGTGTAAAAAGTTCTGTGTTTTTTAATTGCTTAAAAAACACAATATTTTACTTATTGATGAACTGTAAAGACTTTAATGAAATATAATTATTTTAAAGGTTGATTGTTAACGCAGGAGAATTTGCTATTCTTCCTCCAAATTTCTGTGTAATCCATACGCTTTCTCCTTCCTAGAGATAATTTATGTGTAATAGAAAAAGTAGATTATTTTCTTATGTAAGCAATGTGGAGAAAGCCTTTGATTTGCAATAATGCATGCATTTGGGATAATTTGATGATACTGTATGTTTTTGGCACATAATTATACTGTATATTTTTTTCTACACAAAAATAGTCTGTTAAAGAAATCATGTACAAAATGGCACTAAGGAGACCAATTAATGTCAATCCTCCTGAGAATATGTTTAATAAGAATGTGCCAAGTGAGAATAATTAAATTTGTTTTTCCTTATTACAGAAAGCAAAGTTAACTTCACTGTGTAAATACTAACATTGCAAATGGGAATGATAATTTTAAAAAATCTTTTTCTTTAAAGAAAAATGTCAAGTTACCTTTAAATGAAGGCACAGGACCTCCTATATTCTGGATTGCACCCATTGTTTTGATATGTCAGGTATCAATACTACCTATTTTAGAAGGAAGAAATCCACAGATCATTAAAACAAAAATCTCATATTTTGTGAATTGGCCCATGAGCTCAAGAAGTTCATCTCTAGCTTCTAAATACTAAGGGCAGCCCTTAAATAAAATGCTGGTCAAGTTTAAGTATTACAAAAGCAAGGGTGAAAGTTATCTAAATAATTAAAGAAAAGCTATTTGTGTTCATTCTGATCATGTGACAAATCATGTTGATTTGTGTGGCTTTAATCTTAAGCAAATTCTATAACTGTAATTTATTCTCAGCTTACTTATTCTAGTCATGGCTATACACATTGGGCAAACCCACTCACTAGTTTGTTTGTAGTTAAACTGCCAGTGGTTCTCCTAGAAAATAAAATGGAGCACAGAAATTGCCCACAGTTTTTGCAGCAGCATCTCTGCTGCTTGAATTATATGGGGTGGTTTGTTTTAAGAACAATGGGACTGGGAAGATATCTTTCCCTAAGTCTGCATGTGAGTCATGCCCTCGGATCTGCCCTCGTATTTTAATTTGTGTTTTAACTCAGGAAGTACTGGTTAGCTAGAAGGAATGGAAAGCATAAAACTGCTCCCCACAACAGTTTGCCATGGTTGCCAGTTACCTGCTCTTAATCCTAGTTATGGGAGTATGCCTAATAAAAAATATAAGTTAACTTCCAGCTTATGGAAATGAAACTCTGCATTGATACATACTCTATTCATTGGCCTTTTAAACTCCCATAAATTAAATTGCAACCTATTTCATGAACTCCTGTTGGAAATTCAAAGAGGAGCTAACGGTCTTAAACACTATAAACTGGCTCATTACTATCCCATGTACTGTAGTCATTTTACAAAGAATGGTGAGCTCATCCATCTGGGCTTAATATCTTTTTAAAATATCTGGTCCAATTCACTGAGATACAGTAGCAGGGATATCTGCAAGGAGCCAAAAGTGTCAAGATGACATTACTGTATGTTCATAGAGCAATAATGTGAATTATGTCCCACATGGCTCTGTGAAAGTAGATGAATACAAATGGGAACAAGTGTCATCTTCTGTCCGTAATCAGTTCCTTTATCCTTTTACTGAAAAGAAGCTAAGCACAATGTATTTAAACTGTATTTTCTACTACTCTGTTGTGCTTTTAAGGTAACACTTTTGCTAAATATTAACAAAAGCAGATGGATTAAAGAGGTACCATAGTGTTTTTCTAGAAGAGTAATTAATGTCCATCTTGTAGAACTTTGACATCTATCACCTTAATTACTGTATTCCAAAAATGTTCATAGACTACAGTTCATAAAATCTACCGTATATAAAATTATCCTGGGTGTGGAAGATTACATATGTATCTAGTCAGTGGGAAAAAAGGGTGGGAATAATAAACAGAGAGGTCTGTCATATCTGGATCACTGAACTCTGAATACCAGCAGTAGATTTCAGCAAAAGAATTCTGAAATCTTTAGTTCTTGGCTGTATCTCATGGTCTTTTGCATCTGATAGGGATTACTGTATTTTATTTAGTGCTAAATAGGAATCAGGATCCTTGGTTTATTCCTCTCCAAACATATTAACATCACAAAGCTGCTTTTTTACTCTTCTTTCTCTATCTTCTGCAAGGACACACACGTATATTCATAGCAATTGTGTTCATATATCTTATCAAGCCATTATGCCAAGTTTACAAACCGCGATAGATGGGTTTGCATATAACCTGCCAAGAACAGATCAAGAAAATCATATGATTTATTGTAGTATATGTGAAACCATCCTTCCTGCCACAGAATTACTGGAATTTAGCTAACTATACACTGTAGCAGAATTTCTTGGTCACTGCTATAAATCAGATGGATTCTGGTAGCATTAATTGATCATTCTTAACAATGAACTACATCCTCCTACCTCTCACATCCTACTTAACAGTATTAAACTCCTATTTGATCATTATTAAATAGCACATGATCTTGCAATTATGAAAATATCTAATGTGCTTCATTGTATTATGCAGTGCATTGATGTTTTATAGTTTTTTATTGTCATATGCAAAACCTAGCCTTTTCCAAGTGTTTTGGACCACTATCCTCAAATAGCAAGACTAATGATTCTAGATGTTGGTTGATGGAGTGTACTTGGAGGGCCTAAGTTTTAATTCTAGCAAAAAAAAAAAAAAAGCCTTTTGGATATATCAATGCTCAATACTGCCACTGTGTGTTCAAATTAAGGGAACTTTAGAATACTGTTGGTGAAAACTACAGATGAGTATGAATTTTGCATTAAAGTAGAAGTCATCATTCATTTGTTGCATGACAAGGATGAGCAAATTGTAATTTTCGGCACCACAGTCTAAAACTCAGATTTAGCAGATTTTTTATTACAGTGCTTCTTAATTTTTTTTTCTTTCAGGAGGAAGTTTCTTCCCGTTTTTAAAAATTATGGAGGACCTCAAAAGAGCATTTGTTTGTATGGATAATATTTATCAATATTTACTGTATTAAAAATAAAATTGGCACCTTCACTACCACTAGCAATTCTCACAATTGTTTGATGTGATTTTAATTGTATTTAATTTAATTGTGTTATTTTTCAACAGAAACTGGTAAATAATTTTCATTTCAAGGACTCAAGAGAGGGTCTTGGGAGATCCTGTGTTTAAGAAACACTGTTTTATTAAATAAATTGCATATAGGCTTATGCCTTACCATGCTCTCCACTCCACACACCTGTATTTTCCCTTTTCTTGCCTTGGTTTTTGTCTGAGAGGAGGAATCTTTATCCTTCATTTTATTAGTTCATCAAACTGGGTGTCATTCAAATTTGGCAGCTTAAAATGCTCGTTAATCCATTAGTGCCACTTGAAGACATGGCTTTATGCTGAGGCTCTGTCCTAAAGTGGCTCAGTGTTATTATCTGTATTTATTCTACTCTTTTCACTTCAAAAGAACATAGTTCTTTCTTGCAGATGAATATCCACAAAGATACATGGAGAAATGGACTATTTTTGTTAAGAGGATGGCCTTTCAAAGACTTGGTCTGTAAAGGTATAATAAAAAGTGAAGTTATTTGTAGAAGAGAGAGGCTCATTTCTGATCTAGAAGGGTCAACTTGGATCCCCATGAAACTGCCAGATGCTGAGCCAGGTCCTTGTTGGACTTCCTCCAGTCTCTCTCTCACAAAACAAAACAAAACAAAAAACAAAAAACCCTGAGGAACTTCTCATCAGAATTTGAAAGTTTCTTTCACCTTCCAGTACTTTCTTTGTCCTCAACCTCTCCTGATTCCTCAAATTTCTTTATAACAGTCTGAATACCACATCTTGACTATCCAGTTTGCCTCCTGATTTCCCTTGGAGATTGGCCTTGCTGATGTAAAAGTATGATTTTATGCCTGTCAAATTCTGTGATCTTTGGCATTTTGACTAGAATGATGTGACTGAAATTTAGACTTATACTCATACAACATGTGTCTGTACTGTATGTAATGCTTAAGCATGTCTTGCACAAACTTGATGTAATAGACCTTTTTGCACAGCAGTCAATTTGGCATAAAATAATAGAGATGTTTCCAATGACAACACTTAGGGTTTAATTTCATTTAGGTTTATGGGAGCCAGGTGTTTGCTGTTGCTCACATGTAAAGTGATGCCACACTGCATATAGCCTATGGACGTTTTTTTTTTTCTTCCTATTTTTGAATACTGCTTACAAATATCCTGTATTTTTTGGTTGTATTCTAATAAGGAGACTGAGCCATAATTATATATGGTCATTATACCATTGCTATAACAAATCTAATGGTGACCTAAGACTTTTGCATAGTATGGTATTTATGGAGAGAGAAGGGAGATGTTATCCATATATCCTCTATCCAAATATTCTGTACATACTCATGAATACGCCCACCTGTGGAACAGACCCTCACATTTTAAACCATAATTTAATGAAAAATGTGCCAATTATAAAAATTAAAACATAGAAAATTTTTGAGGGTCAGCTTATCTGCAAGTGGCACATTTTTCATGGTAGTTAAAAATTCATGGGTGGTTTTTGTGTAACCTGTAATGCAAAAGATAATTCTTCCCTTGAGGAAGAAAATAGAAAATTAATACCCCATTATATTCTTCTTTTTGATTATTTTATACATGTAATCTAAAAAACTGGAGGCTTTTTAAAAATGCTTTTAACTGGTGCCATTCTTTTATGATTACATCTACAGAATATATATATATATATATATATATATATATATATATATATATATATATATATATATACTCCCAGAAAATACATCCCAGAGAATAATAACATCAGTAACTGACCTATTACGCTTCATTTTAATGAAGAACAAGACTTAGGAGATTCCATTTTTTAAAAAAGTACATAAATAGACTAACCATTGCACTTTGTTCAACAGGAATTAAATCTTGGTCTTTACTTAGATTGTTCATTGACTTTATTATCTTTCTACTTATTACATATTTTAGCATGTAAACTTCACTACAAAATGGATAAAAGTCACATGTGCCAAACCAGAAAATATACAAACAACATTCTTCATAGGGACAGTGGCCACTAACAGTTATACACAACTGCACATCACATAGATTCTTTTTTCTGGAATAAAAACAATTTGTCTACTTATTGTCCCTACAACTCATGAACAATTAATAAGAAGTATAAACATAGAACCATTTGATTTCTTCAATACAAAGCACTACACAAATGTCATAGACATAGAAAGTTTGCTCGCAAATATTCTCCATTTAATATTTTAGAGCTAAAAATATATTTCAAAGGCATCTTTATTTATTAAATCCATCTAGGGCTGTTGGGATTGATTGAACTCTCTTTTTCATTTCCACAGCCACCTTCTTCTATCCAGTCTTGCAGCTTTACATTCTTAGAAGAAGCTGATGTGATGTACTGTAGCTGAGACCTAAAATTGTACAATTGTCTATAAAAATATATAATTTTATTTCCCTTGCTGAAGGCCTGCACTGCTAAGCCTTCAATTTCTACGTTAATTTCATGTACATAGAACTTCAAGACACACACAAAGTACACATGCCACATTCTTCTAGACACAACTATTATTCTAATTAGCAATGCAATGAAAGGCAATATGTCAAGGATACAATTTCCACTTATTAACATATGGCACAATTTAGCAGTATCTTTATGTGCTTCCTCTACTTTGTGTTCTTTAAATGCACCCAAATCATGATTTTTAATACAAATCTTAAGTTCAATAATACATTTTTGCTCAAAAAGGCAGGCAAACTTGGAGTACTAGGTGCCAGTTACACAGGTCTCAGTTGTCTTTGGATGGCATCATCCAGACTAGAATTTTGGAAAATAGTATATGCAGTTGGCCAAAATATCGCACCCTTCTTCATAGCCTCACTTTAACCAAATGGAAGCAAGAGGATAATCTGTTTCTTTGCTATGTTATTTCCTTTTTATATTTTGCCAATTCCACCATAAACACTACTTCTGTTCTTTTAGGTTTTATTTTGACTAAATTTTACACTTCTTAAAAATCTGAGAGGGCACAAATGCATTTGCATGTGGAGCATCCCTAAAGGAGGAAGTTCAGTATTCTAATTAAGCTGGAATTCTGATGCCATTTCCCATGCAGGTGATCTATTAACTACTCAACACCTAACACAGTGTTTTATATTTGAATGAAATAATTCAATAAGGTTCTCAAATTGCAGCTTTGTTCAATTAGCACTCCAAGTCATGTTACCTTGTGATTAATATTATGGTTTAAGTTTGTACAGGATGATCTCTACCTATGGTCCATTTGAAAAGGAAAAATATTAGGCCACAGTTTACACCACAAACAGACATGGTCCACAACATTTCAAGTTTAAAAGCAGGAGACTCTTGGGGAAAAAAATGGAATGAGAGGGGTCTATTAATTGGTTGATATTGCTGGCTCTAGTATTCTTTTCCCACTAGAAGTTTCCAGTTGTTGTAAATGCAGATTTTTGTGTAAGCAGCTCACAGAACAGAATCACTGATCATTAATACAGTCAAAGTTTCTGCATACTTTTTCCCAACTATCTTCATACTGAATATGAGATTGCAAAGGTTAATTTAATGTAGTAGCAAGCACTGATCAATCCCCTATCCCCTTTGCCTTAATCTAAAGGCCATGAGCTATTGCTGGGATTAGAACCACCAAATCAACAATGATCAGAACCAGGGAAAAACATTAAATTCATTGCTACAATCTGGCAATTTCTGAAGTTCAGTTGTAGATTCAGTCACTTTGAATATCCCTACCTTACTTTGTAAACATATCAAACTAGGTAGATATGCAGAATATGTAGTGAAATGCTCATCATCTATTTTATCTGCACTTTATGTAGATAAAAACCTCATTATAAGGGCTATGTAGTCTTTTGGAATTGATCTCCAAAAGATACTTTTGGTCCTGCGTGCAATACTTTAAAACAGCAGCTTAGTCTGACTTAATGCACTGCATAGTGCTACCTTTGTGCTCAAGAATATTCCAAATGAAACATCCAAAGCTTTGTATAATTTTTCTCCATACAATTTAAAGATACAGATAATCATGCCACTTTAGAATGAAAATGCTCATTCTTCAGGGTAGTTTGGGCCCTTTATATGACCTCATGGTTATTTGACTGTTGATTCTCTTTAGCCATTTCACAAGCTGATAATGATCTTTAGCTACCATTCACATTATGATCTTCAATCATCATCCACATGTCACATCAAGTAATGAAAATAAATAAATAAAGGCCACCTGATTTAACAGCACAATAAAACCAATCTGGTTTTGTTTAAGTTTGACATAGCTTAAAACAAAAAAAATCTAACCATAGTTATGCAGAGTAGTATTGAATAAAGATATTTTTATTACAATCTTTCCTGCTATATATTATAAATCAAGAAACAAGTATGATCACAGTACCAGACAGACAATTATTAACACCACCCAGGGAAGATTACAGATCAGGGAACTCAACAAGGCAGTATCTTTAGCTAGAAATCTTGGTCCTCTAAAGTTTTTGTAAAGTATTGCGTTGATCAGATTTGCTGCATTTTGAATACAATTTGGTAAAGAAATATCAAAATAAAGCAGTTTTAATATATATACATGCTTCTTGAAAGCATGTTAAAATCAAGGATTTGTATGTTTTACAAGTATGTTTCTACTTATTTTCTACATGTTATTTAAGTTCAGGGTTGTGAGAAACAATTAAATACATTAAAGTTAATTTGAACTTCATTTTACATGAATTTTGGTCCTGCTGACCCTAACCCTAGTAAAGGATTACAGTATGTGCAAATGTAGTAGAGGTTCCTTACTCAGTATATTTTAAAGAAAAAATAACTTCAGGAAGATAACTAATTGCTTAACCATTTCCCTGCTATTGATTTCTGTGCATAACATTGTCATTTTCTGAAGCTATTTTGTTTAAAATCTAAGCATGCCAGAATTCAGTTACACATTTTTATAACATAATTACCTTGTTATAAATCACAAACAATTCAAACCATAGTAATAAAAATTAGTTTCACAGATATACTGAAACGGTCCTTGCCAAAAGTGGGATACTTATGAGTAACATGTTATCAATACCATTCATTTTTGTTAAAACAACTACTAAAAAGTAGTAGTAGTTATTCAATTTAGTGTTATATGTCAAACAGAGGTATATGATTATACTTCTGCTAGTATTAAAATACACACTATTTAACTTCTTTAATTTCAATATGTTTCTTATCCAGCTAGCCCAGATCAGCTTTGTCTCTCTCTCTCTCTCTCTCTCTCTCTCTCTCTCTCTCTCTCTCTCTCTCTCTCTCTCTCTCTGTGTGTGTGTGTGTGTGTTTGTGTGTGTGTGTGTAGAGAGAGAGAAAGAGAGAGAGAGACAGAACGAGTCTAGGTCCTTGCATTAAAATATCTTAAGTTGCTGATGCTGAAAAACATAGTTGGGTTCACACTTTAGGATAATGGCTAAAGCCAAGCCAAGAAATAATAACCTTTAGAGATGGTGCATGCCATTATATAATCTCATACAATATTGAAGGTGCCAAGCACACAACTGCATTTTTTTTTGTAATGCTAAAATACCCACAAAAGAATGGTAAGATCCCATGCGAGAGCACAGCATAAAAAAAAAAAGCATTCTGTAGGATGTATTTAAAAATGTTGATGCCTGTGTGTTACCCTCACCTATGGCTATAGCAAACCCTTGCCTCTCTTCTGATCCATTTCACTGCTCTTTGGAGAAAAAAATGGACAGAGAGAGATGACTGGATACTGACAGCATCTCCCTTTCTTTATTATCTCATTCCAGACAAAAACAGATGTGTGAGGACAGTGCTGATGCCTGACGTATATACTTGGGAAACAGTCATCTCTACTGTGTATATATTGAAACTCAGCTGATGGGCCTGTAAGTAGGACAACTACTTTATGAAATATTCTTTCCTTTAAATGAATATGCTAACATATAAAGTATTTGTTAGTGGCTTTGTGTACTTCTGATTCCAAAAGTATTTGGAACTGGTTGTCTAAAAGAAAAAACAGTCATAGGAAAACGGAATCAATGTTCCATGTAATATGTAGATGGATTGTACATATAACCAGATAATGTAAAGCAATTAAAAATCACAGCAACTACCAATGATCTGTGATAACATACTGAACTTTTATATTTCCTTTTCTTTAGTGATTTCCTGTTGAGTCTCAAACATAAGAATCAATATCTATAGCAGGAGTAACAGTGTAGGTTTTTCCTCAAAATTAAAGGAATGATTAAAATTAGCCAGCATTAAAAACAAATAAATAATATTTAGTATTAAAATACATCATTTTAAAGTAATATTTAAAATTTATTATAAGATGAAGATTGATTTTGAAGGGATCTTTTCTTTCCTCCAAAAGGAATATTTTGCTGTTCTCCAGACTAGCTGGATGCCTGGTTAAGATTATATTTGTACTGGCTTGGTGATTATTCTACAAGAGAAGGTGTTTGAGAAGGTTTGACATAATTAAAATTCTGCATTGAATAAACATTCACTTTTTCTTTAAAAATAAAATGATTCTTATTTATCTAAAAAACAAAAAACAAATTCCAAATGCTCAATTTGAGTTAATACATACTGGTTAACTTATGACAAGGGAAAAGACAGCTAATTTTGTAAAAGACAAGTTAATTCTCCTAGAGAATTACCAGCTCAACTGGTAGCATATTTTTGATTATTGCAGCTTTAACTATCTATTTTTCTATGAAAGATGAAGAGCCTTAATATATTTGTCCCAGATTTAGGAATATTATGGCACTAATTCACCTACTAGGAGCAAAGGGCAGGAAGGATGATTGTCTATTTTCAAGTTTCCCCAAACTGTGAGTAGTGATGTAAGTAGAATGCAACTTTATCCTTGATACATTCTGTACTCTTTTAAATGACCAGATAGGCTTAACAGATGTAAAGTCTCTGTGCTCTGATTTCCCCCCCCCCCAAAAAAAACCTATATTCTCCCAGTCCAAATACTATGTTGGCTCTAGGTAGGGCAGTGAACACTGATATTGGATTTTCTTCTTAAAGTTAGAATGGCAATTGTTGACATAACTGCTTTGTTTGGTTCTGTTGGCAGGAATCTCATGCAGTAGTAGACTGCCACATTTCCTACATTTTAACGACTTAAAGGTTATTTCATGGAAATGGTAACAATAGATAAATGACTGCCTGGATTTCGGTCAATTATAGAATTTTTCCATACTTCAACAAGAGAGATTCTTTTTCAGATACAGACTTTGCCTTTTGATTTTATCTTAAAGGGAATGTGTTTCTTTCAGATCTGTTAAATATGTGTTTGTATTTTGCCTCCAACAATTAAAAAGAGTAGGTGAAAGAAGTTCTTAGTCAAAGTGAACATTCTGAAAAAGAGACAAAGAACCCCCCCCCAAAAAAAGTAAGAGTTCAATTGGTCTAAACTCTTAAATAACGCTTTTAAAGGTGTTATTTCTATAGCAAACCAGCTATCCAGTCAAGATATATCTGGATGATACAGAGATGTGCTTTGACCTGAAAACCTAAAATCAGAATTCTACCAAGATGAGGTTGATTCATCTAATGGAATGTTGAAAGCTATGATCAGTTAGCTGGATGAAGAAATGCTATCTTCTCCAAAGGGCTTATACTGGCATTTTCTAGTAAGAGAAGCAAATATGGCTTCCAAAACCGTGCAGTGTCTGGGAAGTGGTTCAAAATACCTTTTAGCTTCAAATACAGATGCTATGATTGCATACTGAAAGGCTGGGACAGGGTGTGTAGGCAATATTTAGCCACTGTAGTTTATGAAAGCAATCAATGATGTGCTAGTGTTGTTTACATTTTAATTCTTTTCGCAGGCAAGACGAAGGTAGTCTGAGTTTCTGCATCTGCTTACTGCCCATGCTGTTGTCATGCTTATCAAAGACATTAATGCCTACATATTAGTGAAATGCTATTCCAGAAGACAGAGAAGGTCTTACATTGCCCTAGCCCTAAAATAGGCCACAAGTGAGAAACTTGTTTGATGCTGAAGACCACTTTGGAGAAAGAAAAAAAAACCTTCAGGTGTATGAAGGTTAGATCATTTAAATATTTTTAATAAATGAAAGTTAATAAATCTTTAAGATTCTAAGAATGGAATTCACAGGTTGGTTCAAGAGTTTCTCATGTTAATGAGAACACTTTTGCAAGAATCTGAGTTTCAAAGATGTCCCAAGAAAAAGATATTTAATAGAAATAATGAAAATACCCTGGTTACCTGTAAAGAAGAAGGATTGTGGATTGATATGATACCCTGTTTTTTTCTGTTCCATATTATTTATGGAATAATCAACAATGGGAGCAAAGAAATAAGAGTTAAAATTAATTGTGCATGATCTTAAGACTAATAGATAAAGAGAATCAAAGCTAATTTAATAATTTCAAAGAGATTGGGCAGTGTAGGGCTTCAGGGTTTAATCACTATGGTTTAGACAACAGGTTCCTGGTGCTTGGTTGACAACTGTGGCTGGTGTCTTCAGAGACAAAGATGGCCACAACCACAGTTGCCAGCGAAACATCAGAAAATCTATTGTCTAGACTCTAGGCTATCATCACTAAACCCTGAAGCCCAACACAGCACAACAGATACTGGCCATGAAAGCCTACACCAGTATAATCTCCAGTAAGAGATTAGTGCATGCAAAAGAATACAGACTCTGCTGATTTCCAAAGTATTTAGGTATGTTTATATTTCACTGCAATGCACAACTGTTAATTATTTTAGAATAAAACATTAATAACTGTAAATCCATGAAGACTGGCCTGTACTGGTTAATCAGTATTAATGGGCATTAAACTCCCAGAAAAATCTATGTTCGTTTCCAGAAAGTGTGCAATGTTTTTGAAAGGGATAGAAACTGCAACAGCAATGCTTAGTATGTTAAAACTCTGCCTCTGATAGAACTGATTCATTAGATGGTGCTTTAATTTAATTCTCCATTCATAGAGCAGGAATACCCTCACTCACAGCAATAAACAGTGAATTGGTCTTAATATGTAACACAGCCTTTCACTTCACTCCTAGTTGTCAGAAGATGAACTGGGATTCTCAGATTTCACAGTAAGTATTGGTTAAGGAAAAAGCTGATAAAATTGAGTCAAGCCTATTCTATCAGAGGTAGAATCGCCATTATATTCTACACATCATTTCTTTCTAAACAAAAATATGACTTGGGATATTTTTAATAGTTTGATAGTAAAGGATTAGCACCTCTGTACAGTGGAATCTTGGATTTATTCACAGAAGGGAATGGTTCAGACATGTTATACCTCCAAGGCCTGTGTGCAGTACCTACTGAAAAAACCCACCCACCCATCCATCCCCTTATGTTGCCTGAACCTCTCTTATGCTCTAGGACGGTTGAGGTACTGAATATTTTAGCAGGCTACCAAACCTCTTCATTTAAGGGAAATGGTAAACTACTTAATTGGCACATGACACTTTACCACAGTTTATATACTCCAGTCAATCAGTTCACTAAAAATGCAGTCCTGGAATCTTTGGCAAGGCAGGAAACCTTGTGTGCTTATACCCAGGTTTTATAATGAGATTAAATTAATTTGACAGCCATTTTCATACCTGGGAGGGAGCTGTAATACACACCTAACTTTTTTCTCTTCTTAATTCAAGCAAGGCCAGCACATGTGCTTGGTAGTGGATCTCATCTATGCTGGGCACTATTTCATGGAAGTCAGGTTTCTGTCACAGATCTAAGGCAAACATCACAATTTACAGGAAAGAAAATGAGGACATCAATACATTGTGTGTTGTTAGGAGATACACAACCTTTATAACACAGTAGCAGTTATTATTATCTCTGGGTTTTCTATGTCCTTTTTGCTTTGGATCATCCTCAGTTCCAGCTGGGCTGAATTAGGTTTGTTTCCTTCTCCAGCTTGGGCTTAAAAGAAAACAAACAAAAAATACAATACCATGGAACTTTAATATTAATATAAAATAGCACAGAAGAAAATCTCAGTTCTCCTAGACCCACAACTGTCCCACCATCAATAAACTTTACTGTCATTCTACTACAGTTTTAAGATCAGTGTATGAAGATTAAATATAAGGGGCATTAATAAGAATTGTGAAACATGCGAGTCTCCGATATGAAAAGGTTTTTTTGTAATGATCCCAAATCCCTGAAGGCCTGTCTCTGGGAAATAAATATAGCCTGCTCTCACTGACTGTTGGAAGAGGTTAACAATTTATTTACAGGTGGTCCTTTACCTACAATCATAATGGAGCCTGTCCATTGTGGTTGTAAATCATGGCAGTCGTAAAATGAGTCACCCACATAACCAACCCGATTTTAGTGAAGTAGTATAACTATGTGTATGTGTCTCTCAGAGTTATTGCTATCTTCTTTTTTGGTTCTGTTATTTTAATTTCATATATTGAAAACTGCACTTTATGGCTTACTTATTTGTGCTTTCAAGTTGCATTTACATTGAAAAGCGGACTAGAAAATTATTTTTATCAAAAATAGGCAGAATAATAATAGTAATTTGTTACATGCTCAGTCACTCAGCAATGACACTTTTTAAGTAAATCTTCCAATAATAAATGAATATACTGTATGCAGAACCATATGCTAAATAAATAAATAACTGTATGCCGAATCATTGTGAAATTGACCTACCCTTTGCACTTTTGATGGTCCTTTGTATAACATGTTGCATTGCTGATACTGTCTTTTCACAGGCCATCTGCAATTGTAAGAAAAAAAAAGTTTTACAATATTACTATTTCATTGACTCTGACCAGATTGAATGATTGACAGTTTAAATAATTATTTAAATTGGGTAAAAAATAAAAATCAAAGTATTTTACTTTTAAATTATTTTCCTATTACAGAAATGCTGTCCTGACTGACACACCATGCTAAGCCTGACAGAAGTTGGTTTGTTATGTTTTTTCCTCTGGTGGGTGAAACTATAGATTGCGGTTTAACATCAGTCCAAAGTTTGCCTTATTATGTTAAAACAGAAGCTTAACATCATTTCCAAATAGAATTTTTTATGGCTACCCAGAATTTTACTAAAGTAATACATAGCCTTATTTTGTATAATCTCTTGACCCTGTTGAGAAAACATTTTTTTTCCTATAACTGATACAGAGAAGAAATGAAAAAAAAAAATCAATCCATACCTTAAGATTGTCTGGGTGTTTGTGAGTCCAAGCCAAGAGCATGGCAGCAAATAGGTCTCCTGTTCCAACAAAGACAGCATCTACTTTGGGAGATTCTATTCGGATCCTTTGTGTCACTATAGTGCCATCTGCTGTAGCTAATAAGGCATTATTAGTTATATTCGGTTAGTTATATTCTTCTCAGTTATGTAATCATATAGGAACAGTACATCTTAGCATGGCTTTGTCATACATTACAGTAAAACTAGGGCCTGGATTTAGATGCACTGATACTGAACAAGCTATATTGAGTCCGTGTCGCAATTCCATGGGAGCACAAGAAAAAATATAGTATTGAACTTTGACACCAAACTGAATTGGGCTAGTGGACTTTGCAGAGTTAAGGATTTTTCCCCTCAGTCTTTAGGAGCGCATGCCTTTCCTGAAGTCTCCTCTTTCAATGAAAACTTGGAATCTCTTGGAGAATATGGAATGAAAAGTTTAGAAGTGAAATTAGTTACTTTCTGTTGACTCAATTACAGTGTGATAACATGCTCCAATGAGTCAATACATCCAAAAAACTGTTTCATTCACAGTGCTTTCCTTCACCCACTGACATCTACATGTGCAGTATATACAGCTACTTATGATATGGAATTCTGTGTAATTGGCATTTCAGATCTTGTGCAGCTTCTGCGTGATGTGGGTGATATATCTAACTCACATATGTCCATTTATAAAGTGATTCAGCACCTGAACAGTTTGACTTACTTTAATAAATACTAAAGCTATACAATATACCCAATTATTTTAAAAAGAGTGAGAGCTAGAGAATGGAATGGTGAATTACACCCATTTTAAACAAGTCAACATTAAAAGAATGCAAATTACAATGGGAACATGTACACCTAGCCATTCTTAAAAGACAGTTTATCAGAACAGAAAATATTTTTAATTGCTTAATATATCTCTTGAATATAACTGGCATCACCACTATTATTGAAGATGACAAAGTTACAATCAGCCTATGATCAGTAGTCTTCATGTTGTAAATAAGATTATTTTATATTGCATTATTGCAACAACAAAGCAATGTTCTAGTAAGCAGAAAGTAACTTACTCATATTAACTGATACCTGCTCAAAAATAAACTCTATTTAATTCAAATATCCATACTCTTAAGTGAGATAGGATTGCAGCTTAAATATTCATTGGAATAAAGTTTATATGTTTCTGCAATTTGTGCTTTCTACATTTGAACAGTACCTGAAAACAAAGCATTACTTTTATATTAACAGAAATGGGAAAAATTGGGTAAGTTCATGCTACCTGTATTGTAAGTGTTCTAACAATAGAAGACTATTTATTAAAAATAAAACATACTTCTCCTTTGGCTTCCTAATGCAATCAGATAATCATTTCCTGAAGGAGCTGGAAGGTCTGAGCTGGTGATTACAACCGTTTCTGGTCCCATATTGTGGAGCATATCCATTACCTTTTCAAATATATGGGGGAAAATATGTTAGTACTAATATGTGTGTTTGTGAGACAGTGACTATGCTTCTTGGGACATAAATGTCTACACTGCATGCATTTTATATAAAATATAATACAAAATGTCTAATCTACAAACTGACATTTTGTTGGCTTTGTTGAAAGAAAATTGTAAAGAGCCATGGATAATATATTGTCTTAGAATGAGAGTTTCATTTTGACAAAATATAACTAGTAAAATTAATGTCAAAATATTTTACTGCAAGAATCAGATACACTATCTTTAATCCAACCTATAGATGTTGAAGCAATAATAACAGGACAGACATCCAATGGACATCCATCCACTGGTATTAATGGCACTTCCACAGATATAATTGGCAGGATTGTATCATGAAAACAGTACCGATTTGTGCACTCTACAACATGTAATACAACTGATTTTGACTTAGCATAGCCTTTTGCAACCTTAGTGCCCACCAAACTACATAGACTTCACCTCCAACATTCTAAAAAGTGGTTATGATGGTTGATGCATTCTGGAAGATGAAGTCCATGTATCTTAGAGAAAGGCTGGTAATACCAAATCTAAGAAATAACCAGCCACAGTATACCGACTTCCCAAAAGAGAATAATTCCTTAAATGCTTTTCCTTAATAGCAATAGGTTAGCAACAGTAATTCCAGGAAATGTAAAGTTCTTTCTGTATAATTTCATCAAGGCATTCTCAAGCATTAGCATATTCTACTAGTCACCTTTTCATGCAATAATTATTGAAGTCTTATATGTAGATTGTCAGGAATTTGGGGGATAAAATAGTATCAGGAACTAGGAGTCGTCTTAGCAGCTAAAGGTGTAAAATCAATAGACAAAAAAATATAGAGATGTATTAACAGATTTCATTAATGAAATGTTCTAGAATAAGTAACCTGTATAATCAACTCTGCAGTAAAGTGGAATCTCTTTATCATGATTACAAAATTGGCATAAACACTAGGGGCAGTACTATATAGCAGCTGGAGATCAAATCTGATATTCTCCAATTCATTTACTGCTGACAAATTTATAATTTTCTGCATAATGGGAATGAGAAAATTTTTAGTAGAAAAGCGATGTAGCTCTATCATCCTGTTAAAAGCACGGAAGGAGAAACCTGGCTTCCAACACACTTACCTCTATCGCTTCTTTTTCACTATGTATCTTCCTGCCAGTAAGTAACCTAAAGTAAGGAAATAAAAATTTAAAACATTATTTTGCCCATTAGAAGTATAATTTCAATAATGTTTTTATGGAATATTTTAGTGAAAAATATCAATTAAATCTCTATTATGCTAAATGAGATATTTTTTAAAAAAAAAATTTGCACCAATCTATTTAACCATTCTCTTGTCCCATTCTATTCAATACAGTAGATATATTATTGAAACCAAAGTATGGTTATCACATAGCTTAATGGAAGCTCAAGATGTATTTTTTAAGGAAACTTCCAATAACTCCACAAGCTTATCACAATTCCACAAAATATGATTCTAATTCCTTCTCCTTTAGCCTTTGTATCAGTGTTCAGAATCCTTTTGCTGTTATCCACTCAAAAGAATTTTGCAGCTATTCTAGCTTCAAGGATCCTAGGCACTTGAGCAGAATTCGCAATGGAAATTGAACCACTTCACTGAGTTAATTATTTCAGGAATTCAGAACAAATTTAACTTTATTCTGTTGATTTCTGCTGAAGTGTCTCTCAAAAGCAGGTCTAATTTACTTCTGAAATCATTTTGCTACTTTTTGATTAAGGAAATGTTTTGAAACGTGTTGCCTCCAAAATAAAGCCATCGATGTAGACATTGTAATACTTCACATCTGTATGAAAAGGTAGATCTTCCCAATCTTCTTAGTCAACAATTCCATTAAAGATAAAAGTACATATTGCACTATTTATACTATGCAATTGTAGTTTTCAAAAAATGCATTTTTAAAGAACAGTAAATGCATATCTTTATTTTTCTTAGCTTGAATACAGATAAGACGATTAACAGTTTTATTGCATTAAATTATTTTCAAATTTCCTTCCCACATGAAATGTCTTTTTAAAAAACTATCCAGAAAAGAATAGAAAAACTAACTTGTGTTCTTTAAAGAAACATTAATTTACTATTTTTAAATCAACAACTGAGTTTATACATTTTTTAAAGTTTGATTTTTTTAGAGGGCAAAAAAACTCCCAAGCCTATTCTTCTTCTTCTTAATCATCATCATTATTATCATCATCATCATCCTTTGTTGTTGCTATTCATTATAAAGGTAATGTAATCTGCTGAACAATGAAAAAAATTATTGTCTTTGGAAAATTTTTAACAACACTCACTCAGCTTCAAACTGATTTGGTGTTATTATATCTGCTACAGGTACCACATTATTCTTATACACAGGAAAGAGGTCCTCTGGAACATACTGTAAAACAAAGGAAATTATAATAACTTTAGATGGTTAGGCAGTTCATTCTAGGAAAGTGAAAAGGTTCAAATACAAACACATGCAGGGACAGTTCCACTCAATTAACTAGTAGCTGAGACTTATAAGCAAAGTACATTTAGAAAGTTTCCATGTGAAGGAATGTCAAAACAAATGTTGACAATCTCCAATATAAGGTTGTAAATACTCCAGGTTAGCTACAATATACAGTCTCCTAATCTTCAGGTATCTATGGTTCATCTCTTTCAGCAAAAAATGTATGAACTTGTACAAATGTGAGGTGCATAGTAGCAACACTCTAGATATTTGCTAATGCACATCCACACACTAAAATGGGAAATTGTAAAAAGGTTAGACTGGCATAAGGAAAATAACTCAAATTCACTGACAAGCCACTTCCAATGAAGAGATTTTCATGGAAGCATTCATTTATGCAGCCATGCTTCAAGCTGTCTCATTCTTCTGTCCATTCGTGAAAACTCGGGATTAGCTTTCTGTTCAAAAGCAGTTTAATCTTAAGCAATGTTCAGAAGAAACAGAAGATGCCTATGTATATCTTTTGCAGAAAACTGGTACTAATTTGTTGTAGAATAAACATGGAAATACATCTGTGGGGGACTGTCCTAATAATTTCTGATGAATGCTGTATACTGTAGGATTTATTATGCCTAAAACATACAATATGTTATTACTTTGGCATAACACATTTGTTTATAAAGATGGGCCAAGTTCATAATGAATTACCAACCATATAGCCTTCCCCGCTCCATTTGTCACCCATCACAGGATCACACACTACAAAAGAAAGTTAAAACTTAATCATAAGAAGGGAACATGTAGTAGCATGTAAGGATGTTTTAAAATTAGTAACAATTAAAACAAAACTCTGTCAGTCTTGTTTCAAATTTCAATGCTACTTCCAGTAATGTACAGAAATGGGATGTAAGAGAGATCGTCTATAATGACATCATGACATAATATCACATTAAATGACATGGTAGTGATATTCATTGCTTTTAAAAAAATGTTCCTATCTTATGCTGAGAACTGGATCTCTGTAAAAGCAATACCAAAAAAGTAGAAAATGATCATTTGTGGCAGGATCCAACCTGAGCTGGTGACTGGGACCAGAGGTTTATTCTTCTAAGCTTTTGGACTTATGCTGGAGCCCATCCTCGGAGAACTTCTCTCTCTCCAGAATGGTCATGTGTGCATTTTTACATGGGCCCATAAGAAGTCAAGCAAAATCACAAGTAGTGTGTCTACCTTAAAATATCAGAGAAACACTTCTCAAGCCCTGAACATTTAAATGGCCAGAACAACAGCAAGAAAAGTCCAATGCCCTACAACAACTTTTCCCAGTCTAGCAGCCTTTCATAGTTTTGAGTTATTCTTACCTGGCTAATGACAGTTGGGGGTAACTTAACAGTTCATTATAACTGGAGGAAAATTGGTTGTGAAAGACTGTCCTACCATAGTAGAGTGTGTTATTTCTTCAAAAGCAAAAAAATTAATTTGATCCCATACAGCCTTATTTGAAAACTCAAGGAGAAGCAGATGATAGTTACATGTGGTACAAGCTTCTCAATGACTGCTGTATTCAAATTCTCTTTAGGTTCTGGCACTCAATTGCCTCTTTAATGTTAGAAGAGATAAGCCAACATAATAAATAGTTAGCTGCCTCTCAGATATGATTATTGTCTTGCTTTCTGTTCTATATTCATGAGCAAACAGCAGTTAGAAACAGATAGTAATTTAACAGATTTATCTCAAGTCCCAGATAACATCACAAGTCCAACTTAGTCTGTGGTGCTTTTGTGCCTTCTTGTGTTACCTATGTACCTTTCTAAAGCCCATGGAGAGATTTCAGGAGAGCTATTAATGTGATGGAGATATATTGAATTATTAATTTAAAAGAATTATAAGGCCATCCTCCTCACAATTTTGTACTCTAGACAGAGTATAAAATAAAACTTAAAAAATAAATGCAATGCAAAACCCAAAAAAAATCCCCCCAAAAAATCAAAGAATCAATACATAATTGAGATTAGTGATAAAAACATATTCTGTACACATATCACACAATGGGCTCATCTACCATCCTGGCTCAGAGCACAGGAGAATAGCCAGGTCTTCATGGCTCTAGGGAGGGCCAACAGGGTCAGGGCTATCCAATCCTCAGAGTGGGGATGGAGTTGTAATAATAGAGAAGGCACATAGCTTACGTCCCATTAGATACTGCTTCAGAAAAGGGACCTGGGGAATGCCCATTCTCTGCAACCTAGCAAGACATTCAGAGATGACAGGGTAGAAGCAGTGCTGCAAGTAACCAGATCCTATGTCATATAGGTCTTTATAGTTAATAACAAGTACCTTGAATGGCACTCAGACATCTATTGAGAACCAAACCAGTTTCTGGTTGGTCTTCAAGAACAGTCCATGAGAGCACATTGCAACATCCAACTAGGAGATGACTAAGACAAGAGTGACTGTAAACTGGTCTCCTGATCCAGAAACCTGATTGGCATAAAACATGGAGTTGTTACTCAAAGGCCCTCTGAGTTGCAGTTGCCACCTGTTCCTCAAGTAGGAGCCATGAGGATCCCAAATTGCAAATTGGCTTTATTGAGGGGGTGCAATCTTGCCTGCGACCAATGGGGAAAATCTCAAGAGCTGGATTATCCAGTTCTGCCAAATTATCTGGTTCCACTGGATTCAGCAATGGCTTCTTGAGAAGCTGGACTACCAGTTTCTTCAAAGTCTGTGGAATTTTGAAGGCATTCTAAGTGAATGTATTTTTTTGAACCGTAATTGAAATGTGTGTGAACTATAATTAAGGAGTACAATTTTCCTTTATCTCCAAACTAAGTTGTAAGTCAAGATGACTAATACTAATTTCTTATAACATAAACACCTTTAAAAATATATCCGAAATTGAGGAATCTCCAATAGTATACAATGAATAGCAGCCTTCCTCAACCTAGTGCTCTCCAGGGCTGTTAGTCATCAGTATCTATCATGCCCAGTTGGTATATTAAAGTTCACCTATCATATGGCAGGTATCCCTTTGGGAAGGCTGACTTAAAATGAACTGTTTATGTAGCATAAACTTACCATATACCAGATTGGAGTTTTGTTGCTTTAGCTCTTGAACAATATCAACCACCATTGCAAGGAATGATTTGTCCCGGGTATAGCCTTTGATAAATTGAGAAGGGGAGATTAAGATTATATAAAACCAGGTTTATTTAGCTTTGTTTCTATGTGGATACCACTTCTGAATTTTAAATCAAAAGATTAATGTATTTTATATTTGTAACTGTATTGAAGAAAGTTGGAAGTTACCCTTTTTCTATTGCTTTTTGATTTTCCTTTATTCCTTTGCACTTTTTTCCTTTATTTTTTCCTTCTCTTTTTATTCCTTATATTTTATTTTTTGTAGAAATTTAAGGAAGTATATAACTTTCAATATATATTTGTAATAGTATTACAAACTGTAATCTGTCCCCACAGTAAACATCTCAATAACTGATCTTTTATGAAACATCATAAATTTTCTGAGATTTGGGATAATAACTGCCCGGCTTTACTTTAGCAGTGCTTTGATTTTCCCTATACAGTAGTTGTATTTGACAAGCTTTCTAAATATGAATGGATATGCAATGATGTTGCCAGTTTTAGATTAATAAATTAACATGCATATATAGATTCTTATAACAAGCCTCTCAACTGTCTTCCCATGTATATTTTCTTCTTTGGTAGAAAGCCAACACAGTCTTACATCCCAAACAGCAAAAGAGGCTTTTGGCCAGCTCACGTGTGGATTAGCTGAATCATGTTGATTTCTTTGTCTTTGTGAATAGCATAGCTCTAGTGATAATATTCTTGTTTTTATCTTGATTTACTCAGTTAGTCCAGATGTGGAAGATAGAAAATTTACCAATAGCAAAGATGTCTGGCTTTCATCAAAAAAACACGGCACTAAGGTGCTCTTAATTATTTATGTGTGTTTCCTTTCCATTGTTGAACAATTCAGACAGTTAACTTTTTTTTTTTTAAAATAGACAATTGTAAACAAATGGTAAAGATGGGACATTTAAAATTAGGTACTAATATTATATATGAACCCAGTTTTTAGATTTTGACAGTGCAATGTGACTTAGCCATTATAGTTTGTAAATCATGATTTATGACTTACTAGGACACGCAAAATAGTATACTAACCTAATACTGCATAGAATCTGAATCTTTTCAATCTTATTCTCCACCTAAACTATACCAGAATAGAATTAGAGAGCCAGTGATATATGCAATCACCTATGGCATATTCAACAGGGGCTCTAAAAGCCCAATTAAATATACTGATAATGACCTATCTAGAGTTAAATTCTGCTAACCACAACGAGTTAGTACAACCACATCACCCTGCCAACAAAAGTGTGTATAGTCAAGGCCATGGTTTTCCCAGTTGCAATGTATGGCTGTGAAAGTTGGACCATAAGAAAGGTTGAGTGCCAAAGAATTGAGGCCTTTGAACTATGGTGCTGGAGAAGACTCCTGCGAGTCCCTTGGACTGCAAGCCGTTTAAACCGGTCAGTCTTAGAAGACATCAACCCCGACTGCTCTTTAGAAGGCCAGATCCTGAAGTTGAAACTCAAATACTTTGGCCACCTAATGAGAAGGAAGGACTCACTGGAGAAGGGCCTAATGCTGGGAAAGATTGAGGGCAATACATGGAGTCACTGAAGCAGTAGGAGTGAACTTAAATGGACTCCAGAAGATGGTAGAGGACAGGAAGACCTGGAGGAACATTGTCCATGGGGTCGCGATGGGTCGGACACGACTTCGGAACTAACAACAACAACCACGAGACATACTGCAAGGTAAAGAATGGAGCTGCAAAATCAGGCAAGAGATGGAAAAACAAGTTTGCCTTTTTTGAATGAGATCCAGCTTTTCAAGCATCCTCTGTGCCCAATGGTTGCTTTTCCAAGATCAGAGACAGCCAAAATAAGAACACCAGGGATATGCTTAGAGAAGCTGTAAATTAATAGGATTGAAAGTCCTCCTGTGTCCTGGAAAGGAGGGACAATGCATGATATTTGTATTGTACAGGGTGTTTTCTTCCAAATGGCAATCTTTCAAATGGAAGTGATTAAGAAAAAAGATAACCCTTCTTTTATTACTCTACCAGAGCTTTGGGCATGGGATTCTTTTTTTGGATTCTTCCCCCACCCTTTTACTGGTAAGATTGCTCTACCCCTGTCCTGAATAAAGTGGATATGACCAGCGTTTCTGCCTTGGAAAAATTAAAGACAAATGCTACATTAAGCCAAAGCATATATACCAGGATGACTTTTATACCTTTTACTTGTAGTTAACTATTGCTTTGAGATTAGTTAACATGGCTAGTGATCATCTTTGAGAGTTTAAGATTGTGGCTAATTATTTACCCACAATTTTTCCCAAACTACCAACCAACATGTTTTATTTTTTTTAGCTAAACTCCATGATACTTGTGTATTACAATGAACCAATTCAAAAACAAAAGACAAACTATCCATGGCTATATTGGAAAAAGATATTAAAATTGATTCCTCTTTAATTCAAACTAAATATGCATCTACAATATATATTATAAGAAAGACTGGTGAGAACCACAACAAACTTTATTGTAAGAAATAGGGAAAAGTGGCTGATCTTTATTTTTCTAAAAATATTTTATTTTTATTCTATTTTGAATATTATTGTATTAGATGCTAGAAGGAAAACTTTTACAATTTTGTGCACTGTGCAACCTTCATTTTCAATTTACCGGCCTATGAGCTGATAATGTAAGGCAAAACCTGCACAATCATAATGAATGGTAGCTGTTTTAGCATGTAATATAAACAAGGAAAAAAGAACAAAGAGTTGTAGGCCAGTAGAATTCCATGATTCTAATAACATCTTTTTAGTATTACACCTGAATAAATATGCAAATATTCTATAGCTTTGGCTTTTTGCTATGTCAATGTTGTTGCGGTTCTGAGCAGAAGACCACTGATCTACAGAAGGGCAACATTAGAGGTAAGATGGTGGAGAAACAACCTGGTTGAAGTGAGCAATGCAAGTCCTTGCTAGATGTTTGTTTGAAGTCCAGTTTCTAGCTTGATGCAAAAGGATTCCTGAACTACTTCTGTTTTGGGGAGTGTAACTTCATCTACAACCAAAGGTGAAGAGTTTCTAAATCCCAAAACCCACAGCCACTCATCCTTGCTAGGTCTGAGCTAAAAACTATTATTTCCCATTCAGACTCCCACATATTCTTGATGCTGGGAAAGCATCATTTGGTCAACTAAGGATACAGATCCATAACTCAGATCCAAAACTAAGTATCATTAGCATATTGATGATATCACACTGACTGATGATCTCACTGTGTGATTTCATATAGATATTAAATAAGATTAAATCACGTGAAGTATTAATACCACTCTTCAATGCCTTGGTAAGGCCACACTTGGAATACTGCATCCAGTTTTGGTCACCACGATGTAAAAAAGATGTTGAGACTCTAGAAAGAGTACAGAGAAGAGCAACAAAGATGATTAGGGGACTGGAGGCTAAAACATATAAGGAACGGTTGCTAGAATTGGGTATGTCTAGTTTAACGAAGAGAAGGACAAGGGGGGACATGATAGCAGTATTCCAATATCTCAGGGGCTGCCATAAAGAAGAGGGAATTAAGCTATTTTCCAAAGCACCTGAAGGCAGGACAAGAAGCAACGGGTGGAAACTAATCAAGGAGAGAAGCAACCTAGAACTAAGGAGAAACTTCCTGACAGTGAGAACAATTAATCAGTGGAACAGCCTGCCTCCAGAAGCAGTAAATGCTCCAACACTGGAAGTTTTTAAGAAGAGACTGGACAGCCACTTGTCCGAAATGGTGTAGAGTTTCCTGCCCGAGCAGGGGGTTGGATTAGTTGACCTCCAAGGTCCCTTCCAACTTTACTATTATTATTATTATTATTATTATTATTATTATTATTATTATTATTATTATTATTATTATTATTATTATTATTATTAAGAGTAGAGATGGTAGAACCTGGGGAGCCCCATAATGGAAGGATCTTGGGCTGGATCACCTCCCCCCCAATATAGAGTAGATACAGGCATGAAGGAAGGACAAGAACCAATGTAACATTGTAATTTCCATTTTTAAGCTTTGAAGCCAGTCTAGAAATATATTATGATTGATGGTAATGAATGTTCACCAAGAGATCAAAAAGATCTATAATGGATGCACTATTTCTATCCCAGTCGCACCAGAAGTAATCTAAAAGTGCAATCAATACTGTCTCAGTTCCTATGGATGCAATTGCCTACCTATTCTGCCACACTTTAGAACTCAATATAGATACTGAATATACATTGAGCATATATATTAACTGAACAAATTATTAATTTTTGGATTTTTTGCTTCATTAAAATCAGTTACCAAAACAATCCAGTTGCACATAGTAACCCAAAAATTTGGGCAATATTTTCAGATCGGCCTGAAATGATACACACTTTCAAGAAAGACAAGTCAAAAATTGGAAGTAAAAAATCTTGATAACATTAAAACATGCAACTTTGTAATATAGGGTATTCTTTAAATTTTATTAAGGTAGGGAAATTCTTAAATGCTAAAGAACCTTATATGGCTCTTCAGATATTATTTTGTGGGACTCAAATGCTCATCAGTCTCAGCTAGAGAGTTGTAGTATCTGGAAAGCTTAAGAAATTCTTTAGCTGGCTAGTGACAGGAAAACGAAAAAAGTCACCTTGCAAAATTCCTGTGAACTTATTCTTATATTTTGTTCACTAACATTTTCCTCAAGGAAAATAACAGAAATGTTTCCCAAGCAAATGGATCTGTTTATGCTGAAAAGCCATTTCTATCACAGGGCAGTCTCATTCATTTATATTCAAGAATTTCATGGAAACCAAAGGGAAAAAAATTATACAATGCCCTTCATGGCAAAGTAACCTTTAAGAGTTATGATTCCAGACTCACATAATTTACATTTTCCTGTTACCTATAGGTTTAAAAACACATCTTTTCTTGTAGAAGTTACATAAATCAATTATATAACAATCAATTTCATCTAGCAAGTTTTAAAGCACGACTACACTACAGAAAGGAACATGAATAAAAAGGAAATAAAAGGCTGTTTTGCATTTTATGCAGGGAGGTGAAATCGGGTTAATGATCCATAGAGAAAAAGTGTGAGAAAAAGTGAGATGATTGTAGGCAAAGGTTTGTAGTATTGTGCGAACTTTCTACTGTATTTTCCTTTTGAAATATTTTTCCTGGTACTAGTAAATATGCTCATTACTTAGCCATAGTTAAAGATATTTATGATCATGCACTCCCTCTCCAGATAAGGGACCCTTTTTGCCTTTATCCCAGTTAAATGCTAATGTACAATAAGATCAATTTTATTCCAGTTTCTAGGGTTTTTTTTTATCATTGCAACTAAACTGTTACAAAAAACAAAGCAGTATATACTTTACCAGTAAGTACATAGTCGTAATGATTGACATTGTTCAGTTTCAGTCCTTCATACAGTTCATGAAGTTCATCTGAATTTAATACCTGTCCCTTCCAATGATCATAACCTGAATAAACAAAGAAAACAGAGACTTAGTGCTATAATATAGCAATTGTGATCTCATTTAAAGATAACAAAGTGTAAATGAAAGTAACAATGGCTACTCAATAATAGGTATAAACACTTCAAATAAAGCTTTTGCACTAGTACTGTTATCCTAAAAATAACATTGATGCCTGGGGAGGAAATAAGTTATATGTTTTAACAATAGGGGTTGGGAGAGAAAAACTGGGGGGCGGGGAGATTTTAATGCTGGAGAAAATGTTACTTAGCGCTGGTCACTGCATTTGGGCCACTCAATTAAGAGGAGTTCTAGAGGCCATACAGGGACATTATAGAAGCCATGAATTATCCTGCCCAGCTTTACAACATGAGACAAAGATAAACCTTTAGATGTTAGCTTTAACAAACACCAGACGACGTATGGCTGGTTGAGTCCTTATTTCAAAGACATTTCCTTACCACATTCTTCAATGCCTTCAACAGTGGCAGAGCTTCTAGTGTACCTGAAAAGTTTTTAAAAATTCAGGGAGATATACAGAGGTGTATCTGTTTTGAAAGTAGCCCATACTGAATTGTACAGCATGGTAACGCTTTATATCATTTTATAACCTTATAGAATGGACAGCCATTTGTCCGAAATGGTGTAGGGTTTCCTGCCCGAGCAGGGGGTTGGACTAGATGACCTCCAAGGTCCCTTCCAACTTTACTACTATTACTATTACTAATGTTTTATGTTATAAAATGTTTTATGATAAATTTTATATCATAAAATGCTTTACAAAATTTCCAAATTTCAATTCCACGGGAGTCATGGGTCCTGTATTTCAGACACATTGTGTACATTAGCCCATTTGAGGTATCCTGGTTCAAAAGATTTTGCCCTATAATGCATCATTTTGCCCAGATAAGGTTATAGACACAATAGTTTTAAGTAATGCAACATTAACATTAACAAAGAGACCATAAATATTCCTTCTTGGATAATGGGTAATGGCTATCATTTCTTTTGGTTTGAGGTACAGGATGTACCTGTACCCTGTACTTTTGAGGTACCTGGACTCAAAAATTGTTGCTCTGTGATGCACTGTTTCAGCAGTTAAAGGTTACACAGAGACAGACATGATGTTTTAGTAGTGTATTGATTAAAATAACGTAAGGAAAGAAAGCCCACTTTTGTGGTGAAGGAGCCCTGCTTGTATTTTGGAGTGTTGCTGGATGGAAGTCAGTAGCTTTCACCACTACTAATATGCTAACTCCATATGCAATCACTCCTTTTATGATGAGTGCAAATAGAACAGATGAGTTCAGTAAATCTTTATTTGATGTTGTAGCCTCTGAAATAGTTTCATACATTTCAACCCAGTACCACTGCTAATATTGTTGAATAATAATGGCTGGAAATGGATAGGTTTGTAGGTGATGATCCATTACTTTCTCACCCAATGTATTTATTTTTGCCGTTGAAAATAAATCAACATTAACATTCAGTTAACCCTGTTATACTTTGGAGGTTTTAAAAAATGGAATTGGAAAATCTGCCATATTCCAAAATGGAAACCATAAGAAAGAGTTTTTCAGGTTTTATGAGGCATGAAATCCATCAACTTATAATGATAATTGCCATAGCTTTTGAATCAAATTCAATCATCAGATTTCTTTGACCTCTTCTCATTAAAGTATTTGCATTTTGGATCCGGAAAGTACAAAAGTTCAAAGATGCACATATCAGTTGTGCCAAGAATACTTATTAATAAACATTGGGAGGGAGAGGGGGAATGCTCCAAGGCATTTAAGGACACAGTACAGTATCACACTGTGAACAACAGAAAGCATTGGGTAAGCAAGAAGTGGGACAGCACACTAATCTTTTATCTTTGGAAACATTCAAAATTCAGCTCTTACCCCTCAGAAAAGAGAAAGTTTACTTACATTTTCCTTAATTTAGTGTGGACAGACAGTTTTGCTTAATTAAAAAAAAAGTAGCTTGTATTTACTTTTATGTTTTCAATTCAAGCAGACAGGACTCTGGAGTCCAGAAAATGCTTTGGCTAAACTACTCTAAAAAGTAAGGTCACTCACTGTAATCATACAAGAAATACTCTTTAGAAGGCAGGAGCCAATGGACCTCTTGGAAATGAAAGCTGCCTGTGTTTTGGATATCAAAATAGCACACTAACATTTTTTTATTAATTTATAACACAGTGATTCAGAAAACTGGTGCTAATCAGGTGGTGTTGAAGTCTGAATGGACCAATGTCTTTCTCCATGCTTGTAATGTATGTACAAAGTGGCACATAGAGAAAATAGACAGTTTGATAACAATAAACAACACTTCAAATGTTTTAAAAAAGGAAATTCACAAGGTTAAGTTTTATTTAGACCAAATTAAAATAAAGACGAAAGTCTGAATAAAAATGTTTTCACGGCTGACAAAAAGACAACTAAAATGAAGCTTCCCCCACTTCCCTTTGAATGAATCCTGAAAGAAGAACAGTTCTTAAAGAGGCATCTGGTAGCTAATTCCACATGACTAGAGCTTAGCAGAATATCTCTATCTGCAACATGGAGGAACTGTTTTTTCTAAAGCTTTCAACACCTGCAAAACAGTCTCCCTTTTAAGAGCTTAAGGAGAGCAAAATTCTCTGGTCCAACAAATGAAAAAGGGACAGTGAAAGAAAATCTCACCATACAATACATAAGGGATATTAGTAAAATTGCCTTTTTAAGATGCACATTCTTTACTTTCATCCAATCTACAGTTGCAGACAAAAGTTTACAGGCTACTGGGCAAGTGGTATGTTTCAGTGAATCTCTAACCAGAAGCTGGCCTGCCTTCTAAATGGTACCTCGCTTATTCCTTTTATGTCATATTTCTAGTTATCTTTATACCTATCTCCAAAAGAGTCATTGTCTTAAGCCAGATTTCTGTTTTAGCTAACCCTGATTTCCCTCCAGCTCTTCAGGGATTTCAAACAATTGTGAGGGATGCAGAGGAGCTGGGGTGCTATATGCCCAATTTCTCTTCTTAGTCTTGTTTCCCTTTAAAAGATGAAATCTTTTATTTTAGGAGATTGAATAACCTCTTCTTCAGCACACAGCCTAGAAGGAACATTCCTCTGTGATAACATGTAGATTCGAAGACTTGCAAAAGGCTGGCAAGTACTGTTCACAAAAACAAACACAGGTTATAATTGTTATCTCTTCTTAACTATTATTTTGCCTATGATTTTGGTAATAATGCATGTCCTTTTTTAATACTTAGATGTTTTCTCATGGAAATTGGATGAAATATGCATGATGGTCCTTAGTTTAACACACAGGTGTCAAATTCGCCACGTCACGTGATGTGTCATGACATATCGTGACTCTTTTTGCATTGCTGGCAATGGGGTAGGCGCGGCTTCAGTCTGATGAAACCGGCCTGCAGGTCGGCAGTTTGACACCCCTGGCTTAACATATGACAGCTTCAAACTGGGTAGAAAATAGGGCAAAATATATAGCCAGGCAAGAATCAAAGAATGAATGGATAATTTGCATTAGTATTCCAAGCAAGGACCAATAAGATGTCGACTCCAACAATTTTCAAAGACAACTCTCCATCAAAAGCACAGCTGGCATAAGATTAACATGTAGCTAGGGTTGGTTATCCTTGAGGCACATGGCATCACAGTCTGGTACATTCAATTAGTGGGGGTCCTGAACAATGGCACTTTTTTTCTCATGGATCTAAGACTTGCAGCTCTGTTTCAGACTCCATGGAGGTGGGTGGAGAAAAGTCTGATTCTGACCCTGTGACTGAATACCAGGGAGTTACATATGTTTCTGCTTCAGGATAGTAATAGTAATAGTAGTAAAGTTGGAAGGTACCTTGGAGGTCATCTAGTCCAACCCCCTGCTCAGGCAGGAACCCTACACCATTTCGGACAAATGGCTGTCCAGTCTCTTCTTAAAAACTTCCAGTGTTGGAGCATTTACTACTTCTGGAGGCAGGCTGTTCCACAGATTAGTTGTTCTCACTGTCAGGAAGTTTCTCCTTAGTTCTAGGTTGCTTCTCTCCTTGATTAGTTTCCACCCGTTGCTTCTTGTCCTGCCTTCAGGTGCTTTGGAAAATAGCTTGATTCCCTCTTCTTTATGGCAGCCCCTGAGATATTGGAATACTGCTATCATGTCCCCCCTTGTCCTTCTCCTCGTTAAAGTAGACATACCCAATTCTAGCAACCGTTCCTTATATGTTTTAGCCTCCAGTCCCCTAATCATCTTTGTTGCTCTTCTCTGTACTCTTTCTAGAATCTCAACATCTTTTTTACATCGTGGTGACCAAAACTGGATGCAGTATTCCAAGTGTGTCCTTACCAAGGCATTGAAGAGTGGTATTAATACTTCACGTGATCTTGATTCTATCCCTCTGTTAATGCAGCCTAGCACGGTGTTGGCCTTTTTGGCAGCTGCAGCACACTGCTGGCTCATATTTAAGTGATTGTCTACTAGGACTCCGAGGTCCCTCTCACAGTTACTACTATTGAGCATGGTGCCACCTATGCTGTACTTGTGCATTTGGTTTTTCTTGCCTAAATGTAGAACCTTGCTTTTTTCACCATTGAATTTCATTTTGTTCGTTAGTGCCCAGTGTTCAAGTCTGTCCAGATCCTTCTGTACCTGAAGCCTGTCTTCTGTAGTGTTGGCTATTCCTGCCAGCTTGGTGTCATCTGCAAATTTGATGAGTTCCCCATCTATCCCTTCATCCAAATCGTTGATGAAGATGTTGAAGAGTACTGGGCCCAGAACAGAGCCCTGGGGCACCCCACTACACACGTCCCTCCATATAGATGCAGTTCCATTGAGGACCACTCGCTGAGTACGGCTGGTCAGCCAGCTACGGATCCATCTGGTGGTGGTTCTGTCTACCCCACATTTTTCTATCTTGTGAAGTAGTAGGTTGTGATCTACTTTATCAAATGCCTTACTGAAGTCCAAGTAAATTATGTCCACAGCATTCCTCTGATCCATTAATTTTGTCACTTGGTCAAAGAATGCAGTAAGATTTGTCTGGCATGATCTATTTTTGACAAACCCATGTTGGCTTTTAGTAATGACTAAAACTAACTAACCTCTGCATCTTCCCTCTTCTTTGAGTGTGACATAGATGACAGAGAAATAAAGGCTGTCAAGTGTATAGATGACTGGTTTAAGAGTGCTTAGTCAGAGATACTATGTCAACACACATAACAGATATAGGTCTACAATCATTCATTGGATACTGCTAGTAGCAGCTTTCAACACTAAGGAGAATTTCTACAGTCAAAATTTGTTCTGAATTATAACAGACTAAATTACCCAGGCACACACAGACTTACCTGTATGATTTGAAAACTGGACAGAGTTCACGGTATCTATTTCAAAGCCCAACACCTATAATAAAAGAAAAAAAAACCTGTTTATGGAGTTTTCTTTCATTTTTCAAGAGTAGTAAGATATTGTTATTATTTAGTATTTAATATGAGTTGACAGTAGTGAATAAGCAAAATCAAAGAGTAAAATGCTTTGAATAAAAAAAATGTGCAGGAACACATCAAGAGATAAATTAAAAAAAAGACATCAGGCTTTACAATATAACAAAAATATTACAAATATTTGCAGAAATAAATTTAACCCTAAAACAAATAACACTGAAACTAAAACAAGCATAAGAATGGAAAATGCAATAATCAGGATTCGGACAGCTGAAAAAAAAACATTGGGAGGAGAGGGTAAGGAATATATAATTTATTTATTAAACTTTATTAAACTTATATGCCGTCTATCTCTCTAAAAGCAGCTTACAATCAATCAGTATACAAAAGCATAAAATTTTACAAAAGAAATAGCATTCTTTTGTAGAGTTTGAATTCTACCTTCCACAGAATTACAACAGCAATGTGTATACATGTGTCCTCATGTACATAGTGCCTAGGAAAGCAGTAAACACTACGGTTGCACAGAGATCTAGTTGTGCATAGCAAAGTTAAAGTACATGTGGGCACAAAGATAACCTATCAGGAAGATTTTAAACCAGCTGCTTCTTTTCCTAGACTTTATGGCTGCTCTCCAGAGTTGATCCATGATCTCAGGAGAAGACATGTTTGGTTTATACTGTTCTGATGCTACCTATAAGCTTCTGTGCACAGTAATTCACATTTTGCTCTTTGAATCTTGATCTCTACAGAGCCCTAGTAAATATCAGTTCTGCTTTATAAACAGCACTTTAGATGTTGATTAAATATATTTTGATGTTTCAGACTTGGAACATTTAAACCCACTGCTAGAAAAATGAAAAACGACAGACAAGTCTGACATTTAATATAGTTGCTCTCCAATCCTTGTGGGCTGGAATAAAATAAATTTAGAAAAAAAAGCTACTATACAGCATCATGAATCTTAAGGAGACACAGTAATGGTGCAGAAATAACTGTGTATAATCTATTTTCGGGCAATTTGCTGGCAAATTAATGACTCTTGTGCTAGGCACATTGTGCTCCAGAGGCATTATTGTTCCCTTAGCATGACAAACCAGGGTAACCCTTTCCCCATTTTATGTCAGTGATCGCTACTGTGCCAAAAATGAAGCCTTTTCACACATTTGCAGAATCACAGCTGACTCTGAAATCTGCTTCACTGTTTGGGGAAATCCACAATTCAGAGGACCAACACACACAATATCTGCTTCTTTGCGAGGCTGAGGATTTTTTTTTTAAGCTACATCTTTAGCAGCTTTAAATCTTGTCATAACCTCTTTGGATCAATCCTCTTCTGAGTAGGAAGAAGAGGAGAGGATTTGGAGAGTCTGATACAGTAGTGCCATGCTTAGCATGGCAATCTTTATAGAACAAACCTATAATGTCATTATATATTATTACAATATATAATGACTGGGTTTTGATTCTAAGCCTCAATTGATTCCTGGAATGATTATTTCAGTTTGGTGGCACCATCATATTCAGCTCTCTGAATATTATCAGTATTGAATTCTTTGTTTTACCTTTATTGGATTCTGACCGGTTTGAAACTAAGGACAGAACTAGGTATAAACTGTATCATAACCATATACCCTGCTCCTAATAGCCCTCAGCAATGTAACTATATGAATATTGTTCACAAGATAGCAAAAATAGCCAGGAGAATATGATTAGCTCTATCAAGATGCAGAATCTATGATTGCAAAACCTGTAATAGTATTTTTCCATCTTGAGATACTATCCTGTTCCTTAATATTTATACAAAGTTGGTAAAGCTGATACTTAGCCCTGTTGCTCTTTATTACCTAAGAAGTCGTTACCACTTAGTGGTAACTAAATCACATAGTAATTTACCACTTAAGTTTAACAAGCACACTGATTATTAAATCCTGGCAAGGTGGTAGTGGTGTTGATCACTGGAAAGCAAGATTAGAATTCAATATAATCTTGAAAAAAAGAGGCTCTCCTGAAACATCAAATTTGTAATGTCCAGTCTTATGTTCTCCCTATCAAATGGCACATGGCAAAGAATATGTGCTACTTTAACCGATGTGGCATTTATCACTATTTCTGTTTGATCTATAGATTCTACACAGAACTGCTGCTAAAGAGCATATAAAAACTTCAAAACCAGCAATAATGGTGACAATTACTATACTGTGACTATTACTCCTATACAAAAGAATTCTGCTAGTAGCTGTTTTCCAAGTTCAGACGGCTAGCTTTAAGTTTAAAACTCTATAAACAGCTGAAGAAACAACCAGTTTCATTTCAAGCCTGTCAAATTATTACATTTTACATAAGGTCCTCTTGAAGTTAATTGACATTTGCTGACATTTGCTTGTCAGTCCAGCAGGGACAGGCATTCTCACTATATTGGAGTTGTGATTAATCTATATTCTCTTGGCTCTCAGAATATAATTTAAGAGTTTTTAATTTTTTTTGCTTTTAAACTGATTTCCTGGCATTTAATACTGTTTTTACAGGATGTCACTATTTTTTTCTGTTCTGACCTTGTCCTATAACATGGCTTCTGGCAGGTAAACACACAGGTGTCACATTTATAGTTATAGGGAGGGAAAGAGAACTCTCCAGGACTGGTTTCTGCTGGAATTTATAGTTTAGGTTGACAACAAGGGGAATTTGAACATTTAATGGGGTTGTTTTTGGTATGTGTATAGGCAATTTTTTTTTAAATCTACACTCCTTCTAGGATCATCTTTTTTCAAGTAAATGTGTTAATTTGGGGCCAGTTGTATTTCTTCAGTCACCAGGTACAAGTATTGGAGAAGCCCAGAGAGGGAACAGGGTGTCCCAAAAGATAATATACTATATTTCCATAATCGCAAATTCAATGTTCATTTTAAGGAAGAGAAAAATGTATTTGCATAATATATTGCTTAATTAATCAACAGAAACTAGTAGGCATAATTGTAACTTTTAAGAGCTATGATAGAGTTGTACATCAATAGGTTTAAACTGCTTCATATTAGTGTTTAATGCAAGCTAAAAGAATTTAGATAAAAAGAAAACCAAACTGAGGCTCCAATTTTATACTGGTATAAGTCATATTTCAGACTCCTATCCATCCACAATTCTGTAAAAAAATGGAAAATATATCAAGATGCATTTGGGTCAGAGTGACTTACAATTCTGATGAAGTTATCTTGGTATCAACAAGTGGCAACATCTGGCCAGCTTTGGTGTCAAACTGCCGGCCTGCGTGCCGGATGCGTCATGTGGAAGCCGCGCCCACCCATTGCCGGCAATGGCAAAACCGGCCCAATGCGTTGCGCGACGTCACGTGACATCGTGAGTTTGACATACCTGGAGAAGATTGGCAGGGATGGTCCTGGTAGATATTTGGATGTGAGGCCATAAAAAAATCCCGAGTGTGTAAGGTAGACTGATGTATGATACGATGTATGATAAATACAAATATTTATATTATCTTTATTTCATTTTCCCTTTGAACCTTGCTATGCCACTATTACTAGCTGACCAGAAAATGGGAGCAAAGGGAAGAACAAGACAAAGAGAGCTGAAGAATTCAGACTAAACCTTCAACTGGCTCCATTTACAGCAGATGAACAAAAACAAAGCACAAGAAATATCTATTAATCATTTTTTCTTCCCTTGGAAAAGGAACTGATTTTTCTAAACCAGAAGGAAAGATAAGTCAGAACAAAATGTGAAAAAACAGCAGATAGCATGACCTTATATATAGTATAAACTAGTGCTTCTCAACCTCAGCAACTGGCTTAGGTTTCTTATTTCCAGGAAATCTTGCTTTTGCTTTATATTGTTCTATCTCACTTTCCATAGTTCTGGACTTAATATTCTTACACAATCTATTTTTCTTTTTATCCATCTAAGCTGCTGCTTTTTGAGCCTTTCATCTTCCCCCCTGTCCTTCCCACTACTCTGTCCCACAATCCCTTGTGTGGGAGCATGGGTTCTGGACCTTATGAAGAAAAAGGTTGCCAATTGCAGATGCTAAGGAGACAGTGAACCCCTGGATACTCCTATACAATATTGCAGGGGCTTAGGCAAGACCTCTACTCCCCTCATAAACAGTGACTGTAACCAGCCCTGGAGGAAAAATAATACTGTGTCTCCTACTTCTACAAACTTAGTGGTATTGAAAGTTGTTGAGAAAGTCCAGGATAGATGTACTCTCTACCCTGGTCCTACCAGAGATCATATACAAGCATGATCAATGTCACATTAGTACTATATTCTGATCAGAAACCCAAATGAAAAATGCCCAGAAATTAGCTTTCTCTAGGGGCTTCTGAAGCGGAAACTCAACCATCTTCTCAACAACTTTCACAAAAAAGGGAAATGTGGAGACAAGATGAAAGCTGTCCAGTATCACTGGATCCAGAGAGGCCTTCATGAAGAGGGGGAAGACCAATTCTTGTAGCAGTGCTCTTCATGTCTCTTCTACCATTTCATCCCCAAGTTCCTCAAACAAATAAGAGAAACTCCAGGATCCATGCAACTAAGGCCACAGATAAATTGTGCATCAGAGTCTCAGAATTAACCATAAATTATTGTACAGCTTATACCACGTTGCTCAGTTTGTGTCCCCTAAGATAAAACACCCAGACACAAACTGAGCAATGTGGTATGTGCAGTACAACGCAGTGAGCCATGTGCAGATCTGTACATTGGGGGAACAAAACAAAAACTTCATAAACGTATGGCACAACATAGGAGAGCAAACCCATCAGGATAAGATTCAGCAGTCCATCTGCATTTAAAAGACCAAGGCCACTCTTTCGAAGACAGCAATGTCCACATTTTGGATAGAGAGGAGCGCTGGTTTGAAAGAAGCCATCTATGTCAAAACTGAACAGCCCGCGCTCTCTCTCAACAGGGGTGGAGGGATATATCATCTATCTCCAGTCTACA